AAATGTTATTTTCGCCAGCCAATATATAGAAATACAAGCTCTTGCTACGAAGAAATAGTATAACTCTCATTTACTCAGACTCCTAACATTTATGGTGTTTGAACTCAGAATCAGAGATAAAATTAAAAATTTATTATAACCAGATTAAAATATTTTTTTATTTTCCATAAATACAATTTTTTTCATAAATAAAAAAAATATTTTAAATATTAAATACTAATACTTAAAAAATAATTGGCGGGGCCAAGGCTCTTCTTGCCCCATGAAGGTGCTCTTCCGTTCAGGATCTTAAAGAACAATAACAATTATTTTATCACTAAGATCGTTTGGTTGTGAAACCTTTGAAGCAAATCCCAAGGAGAAGAATTAAAATATTTATCCAAATATTATAACTCAAAAGTTTTTCATTAAGAGAAAACAAAGGTTCTTTTTCGTTCACTAAGAGAAAATGCATTCAATTGGTGCATGGATATAGTATCATAAAGGGAAAAAGCAAGCAGTCTCCCCATATCTCTCAAGCTCTTTTTTTATTCTCTTATTAAAAATCTATCCTCATCCCATTAAATTTTTATAAGTTTGTTTCATTTTAAAAATTTTATAAATACGTCACCTATAACATAAAATTCTACATTCGGCCCTGATTGATACTGAAAAATACATGATCGTGCTCAAATGTGTTGATAGAGTTCAATGCTATTTTTTTAGTTAGTTCAATTGAGTATCGAGAAATTAAAGATAAATATAAGGTTGATATTTTCCGTGCCTTATATTCTATCAAGATATCATAAGATAAAAATGATTATGACATGAGCTACACATTAAGGTTGTCTCAAGATAACGAGTTTTTCATTTTACTTGGGTAGTCATAACGTCTTGTTAGAGACCACTTATGACTTATAGGATCAAATATGTTTTTATTTATTGCTAACATTAATTGAACTTATAGTTTCGCACTCCAAGAATGAATAAGAATGATTATAGTTATTATTCTTAATAATAATTGAAGATAATGAGATTATTTTAAATTATATTTTAAAAGATTATTTCTTATTCGAATTTAAGAAGTTAAATTCATATTCTTTTGATAGAATATTTTGTTTATTACTATTTTTATTTGATTCGATAATAATATTAAATAAATATTACTATTAAATAATATGTTAATTAAGTTTTGGTTGAATTTGAAATCCGGATTTTTTATGTTAATTGTTCATTTTATTGAAGGTGTTCACCATGAAATTTTATTTGTGCTCACCTCATATGAACTTTTTCTTATTATTAGCATATGTTTTCACCTTGAAAAATATTTTTAGATCCGACATTGATTCTACTATTTTGCATGCATGCATGATCCCATTTTTCCCTTATAAAACCCTTCTCCAACTTTCCCTCTTTCTCGCAAGCAAGTTATTGCATTTTCCTAGTTGTTAATTTTAACAACCATGTCGATGATTCCGAGCATGTATTACAGCGGTCGCACTGTTCATCACGACCCTTACTACCACCATCAAGCAGTTCGGGATCCATTCAAGAATTCCGGTACGGCGGCAGCAGCCTTGTTTCCGCGGTGTCTCCGCCGCCTGGTTTCCTCCCTGAATTCGAGCTCACGAAGCTGGACTGGAAGGAGACCCCGGGAGCTCACGTGTTCGTAGCGGAGCTTCCGGGGCTGAAGAGGAACGAAGTGAAGGTGGAAGTGGAGGAGGGGAGAGTGCTCTGCATCCGCGACGAGAAGAGTGTGGAGAAAGAAGTGACCGGCGGTATGTGGCAGCGTGTGGAACGTAGTAGGGCGCGTTCGTGAGGCGTTTCAAGCTGCCTTATGACGCGAAGCTGGATAAGCTGACGGCGTACTTGGAGAACGGGGTGCTGACCATCACGGTTCCTAAGAAAGAAGCCAAACACAACCCTAAAAGCCCATTGAGATTCACGGTGGCGAGTGATCGGATCGGAGGGTTCCCTTTCGCTTAACAATTTCACAGCGAAATTTTTTCATAATCTTATTATATAAATAAAAAAAAATCTCATATAATAGATTTGTGTGCTCCAGTTATTTTCTAAGGCTTAAGGAAGTATTTATTTTAGAATGATGTATTAAATGATTTTCACCCCCACCATTTTCTCACCAAACATTCCTCTCTTTCTCTTCATCATTTTCTCATTTCTTCTTCCTTTCTTAAGAGTAAAGATTTAAGGATTCAAGCTTAGTTTATTGTAGCCAAGGTAAGAATGTTTCTCTCCATCCTCCAATATGTCTTAAGCTCCATTTTGTAAATTTTAGAATTAGTTTTCAGAATGAGTTTTTCTTAAAGGTAGGGTAAATCCTAGTTGATTCAAGAGGTGTTTTAACAATCCGTCTTAACTTCCATGATCTACACTTGATATGAGAAAGCTATAAGTATGTTACCTTTAAAACACCTCTTGAATCAACTAGGATTCACCCTACCTTAAAAAAAACTCATTCTGAAAACTAATTCTAAAACTTACAAAATGGAGCTTAAAACAAAGCTTGGAGGATGGAGAGAAACATTCTTACCTTGGCTACAACAAACTAAGCTTGAATCCTTAAATCTTTGCAAAGGAAGAAGAAAAGAGAAAATGATGAAGAAGAAGAGATGAGTGTTTGGTGAGAAAATGGTGGGGACGGTTCATGTAAACATGATATAGAGAGTTGAGGGTTTTCAGCTTTAAAATAATAAGGGAAAAATCGCACTATTAGCCCCTCTACTTCTTTTACATAAAACACTAATCATCTATCACCAAAATCTTTTGGTCACAACATAAGCTCACTGACATAAAATTGGTTTAGCTATTTTATAAGATTCTTTGGGGTCAACTTTGGGTCTTAGATTGACCCAAACTATTAACTCGGGATTCGGGGTGTTACATGGTTGGCTTAATTAACATCTACGCCCCAAATGCTCTTTCTGAGAGGCGTGATTTTTCAATAGAATTAGACGCTGTAATCTCTAATATTGGGGTTTTGGTTATCATTGGAGGAGATTTCAATACGGTGAGACGAGCTGAGGAGAAGTTTTGAGGACCTGTGTGTGTGCAGCCTCAGCGCAATCGTTTGAAGATTTTATCCAATGGCGTAGCCTGATTGACCTTCCCCTTGAAAGGAGCGAGTTTACATGGTATAGAGGTGGATCCTCGAATTATTCAAAATTCATTAATCAATTTTTTTTAACCATTAATCGAATTGAACTGAATTTAGTTAACTGGTCAGTTACCGAATTAGCCGAAATATATAAATAATATATGTTATATATATTAAATATTTAATATTTTCAATTTATTCAATTAGTTCAATCGGTTGATTCGATTAAAACCGAAGTTTAAATACCCATAGAGCTAAATAATATATATAATATATTAAACATTAAATAATTTTGGTTAATTCGATTAATTAATCAATATTTTGAAGCGATTTAACCGATAATCGAAATTTAAAAAACATATTAATTGTTAACTGATCGAACCCAAAATTAATTGACCTAAATTTCAATTCGGTCAATTAATTTGATTTTAACCGAATTATGAATATCCCTAACGAGGTACATGAGCACCCAAACAAGTGTATACGTAATACGTTAATCTGAAAATTTATTATTATTATTATTATTATTATGGAGAAATGGGAGTTTCTTAAGAAAGTATATAAAATTTCAAAAATATTAGGATTTGTTAAAAAAACATTGTGAAGTTTGAGTCGTATAGAATGTTTTTTTATGCAAATAGAAACCCCTTATTTTATTAAAAATAAATAAAAATTATAACGAATGTTTACAATTATAAACGTAAATTAAACATATAATTAAGACATTTTTTTATAATCATTAATATAAGAAACTAACTATTTAAAATCATACAAGGTTTTTACAATGAAAATGTTAATCTGAACATCATGATATAGAAATTGCCAACCGAGTGGAGGCCTCGATATATTTATGGCGGAAAAAATCGAACTCGAAATCTATCAGCACAAGCCGGTCTAGTTCGGAGTTGTCATGGGGTTTGATCAAGGACCTAATGATCGATGCTGACAAGAGGGAGATGCTTGCCGATCAAGCAGAAAGCCTTCTGCTTTGCTTGAAACAACGATTCCCTGGCCTTCCCCAGACCACTTTAGATATGAGCAAAATCCAGTACAACAAGGTATGTCTCAATAGTTCCTATTTGAGTTATGTTCGTATGAATGCTTTTATTTACAAGATTCATGTTAGTGAATTAGGATGTTGGGAAATCCGTTTTGGAGAGCCTTGCATTCAACATTGAAGCACGTATCGGGGACGTGCACTATGTGGATGACTTGACCAAGCATTCAGATCAGTTCTCCTCGCCGTCCAGTATCAGCATTATCGGTCCGAAGAGTCTTTCGATTCCATACTCAGTGCTCTTCCCCATCACTCCTTACAGAACAGCGTTTTCGACCCCCAAACTTTTCACCAGCACCGCTAGCTACTACCCCGGCCAAGAGTGATAGATCACCGTTTCTCTCGGGCAGCAAAGTCCCTCATCGTGGGATGAGTGTGACAAAGGTCTTGACAGATTATCTTAGTATAGATTTAAAACCGAAAGAACACAGTAATCCAAATAAAAGGAGCTGAATCCGGTTCAACCATTGCTCGAGAAACATTGGTATCTATTGAACCTCTAAAAGAGGCAGTGAGCTTCCCAGAGAAAGGGCCCTGATGCTGCACACCATGAACCAATTTTATCTTAAATTTGGTAAGAATAGGAAGATGCTTGAGGATGGAGAACATTCACCCTTTTATTGTAAATGACAGATGAGTAGTTCATGCTTTGTCAGGGCATCACATGGATGATTCCTTCATTTTACTTTTTGCTTCCTTTCTGTAGTGTGTACATTGGCTTCCTCATGGGACAAAAAGGAGGCTAGTAGGATAAGATAATAATTGATTGATCAAACTTCATGAAAAACCATATTATGATCGCATGATATGATCGATATAGAACACGAGTGATGTACTCATATGTTATAAGCCAATACGATAAGAAATCTTTCATGTTTTGTCATGGGGGTCCTTCTAGCTACATTCAAAGGGCAAAATTAAGATCCTTATTACACATATCTTCAAATTCTCCTACTTCCACTTCTATAATAACACCATACTTTGCGCAACTACGTAAACAACGGCCACTAAACCAAACAGACAAGAATGTACACGGCTTATCTGGTTGATAAGTAAAAATACGTGACACAACCATTCCGTTTTGATCTCGCTGGAAGTCAATGAGCTTGAAAGCCTGTGCTGGAAACCCTTTCTTCCACTCATCATTTCCAACATTTTATATAGGCTGCTGGCTGCAATTCCTTCACCTAGTAAACATTGAACGCATGCTGCCCCAATTCTGATTAGCACTTTATAATTAAGGTAGCAGTCAAAAGAAAACAGAAATTCGATTCCAGTTGCAGCACGCAGGCAGAAGTAAAATATTAAAGGCACATACTTGCCGGAAAATCCTACATACTAAACAGCTTAACACAATATATCATTCATTTGGTTCTGGGGAATAATTCCTTTGGTAACTCCCACCGTGTTTTTGTTGACATCGTACGAGGACAGGACCTTCCTCTGCAACAATCAAGGATATCAAAGTCAAACCATTTAAGAACAGCCTTTCAATAAATATTGTTTTCTCGTGTTCAAATAACCAGGAAGGAATTGAAATACAAGAGTACTCGAGCATTGTAGACAAATATGCATATGAAGTCACAGCATACTCGTTATAATTTTTTTACATCGATAGGAAGAAAAATAAAATCCGAAAGCACATCGTTTCCAAAGCCAATAAACTCAAAACGGAAATAATTTGTGAAGCATAAACATAACACTTACAATTGGCTCAAAATCTGGACTACACAAGTTAACAGTGAGATTTCTCATCAGCAACAAAACCTGCATGGCAGTAACCCGAACGAATTAGAACAAGACAAATTTTAAGGGGCAAGGGAGTGATAGAGCCTTAGGCTCTGAAGTATATACTGCTTGTTTCTTCAAAGCAGCTTGGGAAGTGGTAGGGGAGAATCATGTAAAAGCTGTTGTGTTGTTGGTTCCCAAAACAAATATTCTGAATAATCTCAAGTATTCGAAGTATCATGGTGTACAAATGTGTAACTAAAATCATGGTGAAAAGGTTAACAAAGTATAGTCATAGAATAATGTCAAGTATTCAAAGTGCTTTCACTAAAGATAGGAGCATTTCTGGTAATATCCTTATGGCTCAAGAATTGGTGAAAGGGTATGGAAGAGGTTCTTTGTCTCCTAGATGTGCTGTTAAGATAGACCTGCGAAAGGCCTCTGATTCAATTAGCCGGGAATTTATTTTGAAGGTACCTGAAGCATGGAGTCTAAAGAAATCTTTGTCAATTGGATTCAAGCCTGCAAAACTTACTCCTAGGTATCAAGGGTGCCAGAGGCATTAGGCGGGGGTGCCTGAGGCATTAGGGGGGGTGCCTTTGTCTGTCTTATCTCGACTATTGGAAGCAGCTGCAGCTAATGAAATCTTCAAATTTCATCCTAAATGTTACAAAGTTAAGCTGTCTCACCTTTGTTTCACAGATGACCTTCTGGTCTTTTCCAAGGGGACTTTTGATTCTGTTGTTGGTATTTGGTATGTTCTAAATCAGTTTTACCTGATTTCAGGATTGAAGCCTACATTACTCAGACTCTGGCGGAAGTGTCGGACACAGATATATATCCAACATGGGTATGGTTAGATTTTTCGAAGTTTTCCATATATTTGGAGGATCCTCGGAGGTCATATCCCCATATCCAAGTATCGGACATTAGTGTTGGACACAGGTACTTCATGTAAAATGAAGAGTCCAAGCATCATAGATTGCAGCTGAATGTTAGTAAACGTGTGATTCTTTTCTCTGGGACATCAAGAGAGGTGAAGGATGAAATTAGGAGAATTACATAATTTAAGGAGGGAAACTTCATGTGAGATACTTTGGGGTGCCACTTGTCACAAGGAAACAATCTTAAACATATTATACGCCTCTTTTGGAGAAAGTAAAACGGAAAATTAATAGGCGAGTAGCCCAGTTCCCGAGAGAATGCAATTAATGCAGTTGCCAAAATTACTGGTGCAGGCACTTCATCTTGCCTAAACCAGTTTTGAAGAGGATAGATCAGGCTTTGTACGAGATATTTTTGGCCTAAGTTACCAAAGCAAATATGAGCTGGACTTTGAGGGAAATGTTGAAATTAAGAGTAGAGGACATTAATATTCATCATTACTCATTTGGTTCCCTATGCCTATTCCAAGACAGTCTATAATAGCTCAGTTGACTATTTCGGAAAAATTACCAACGAAAGATAGATTGATTATGGAACTGCTCGAATCTGGATCTTCTAGGGAGAACAGCATTCCCTTTTACCACAGAGGCCACTCAAATCTCAATGGGTTCTAATTAATTATGAAATGTTGGGGAAAAAAGGAGCTGTTTTGACTTACAGTTTCAAAATTTATGGGATCCATCTCTTTGAGTTTTTGCACATGGCCCCCGGTGTCAGGATCAAAGACACTCCCAATAAAGCTATAAACTTCAGCAAAATCAGGTATACCTGCAAAACAAAGACAAAGTTGGCCAAATACCATCAAGTGCAAAGTAGCTGGAGAAAGCAATTAATTTCAGTCAACACAATTACCGTGAAGCATGGATACTTGTTTCCCTTGATTTGGCAGATCGGATTTTGGCATTGTATTGCTAGAGCTTCCAATGCCACTAACACCACTGTTACTAATCCTTGCAACGCCCTTTGATCCAATATCAGCTGAATCAGTAACGTTATATGCATAAGAAATGTTGGAAAGTTTCCTTTAGGATATCTAGTCTAGCACTATTATAAAAAAAGGAACCAACATAGAGAAGAATTCATGCCTTCCGCTCCTTGAAGACTCGTAAATTCATCTTGGGGTGGCATGATTTTGCTTGAGGCAGTGTTAACTAGCATGGAAGCTTCATCCCAGGGACCATATCCGGGTGGAATGGTATTTGTCGGAGAAGGAAAACCCATGGATGCTTGTAATGGCACTAAACTGGTATTATATGAGCATGTCAAAATGTAATTATCCCCCAAGAATTCATTCAAAAATATCATCACTATCCAGTTCTAAATTCAAACCATTTTTAGAGGCCTTTTGAGGGTAAGGGTGGGCAGCTTTGCGCTTGGGACGAGGAGGCGGCACATGTGCCATTGTCCCATTCTTTTGAACCTTCAAAAAGTATTTCTGGGCATGACTTCGAATCTGTCAAGACAGCAAATACCCATTTAAAAATAAAATAAGCAAAATGAAATTAAAAATTGAAAAGCTTAGATGAATGAAAAAACATCAAATCCTTGTCGTTAAACCTGGATAACTGTCTTTGATCCGACAAAATCTTCAATCTTTTTCCAGTCTCGATCAAACCTAAGTCAGCAAGAAAGAAAACTATTTAACAGGCTAACATGAATGTTTTTTTGTCTACCATAGAACAGTATTAATCCTTATAGCTCATATTGCTAATAGACACAAAGAGGAACATGAATGTGTTGACATTGGCATCCTCGTACAACGTTCAACACAACACAAATCATGGTTAAAATTCATGGTTAGTTAACCTGTTGTACCAAAATTGAGCTACAAAACAACTTGAATCGAAGACCAAGTTTACAACATCAATTTCTTCGAACAAAACATCCACTTCACCGTTGAATTCAAGATTTTCTCAGTTCTCTACTAGCTAAAACAAAAGCATTGAAACTAAGAACCAACATAAAGAAAGGCAAATTCCCTAAAAACAAGGAGAAATCAAAGTATTGGATACTTGTAATTCAGGGTTTTCTTTTAAAGAACAAAAGTTTCCATATATGAAGAAATAACATACAGTTGAAGAGCTTCGAGGAACTTGTCGTGTTCCTCTTCGGTCCAGCTTTCACGTGACTTTGTAATGGTGTAAGGCTTCCTAATTTTCTTGCCGGAGCCATCTGCGGCGGAGGCGGTGGACGTAGAGGACTGAGGCGGAGGAGGGAGCGGAGGCGGTTGTGGAGGATTGGGGGAAGAGTTCATGTTTTTTTTTTCCTTTTATTTTTTTTTCCTTTGCTTGTGTTCGGTTTTTGCTGCCTAACAAATAGACAATGAGCAGAATACGTGTGGTGAGTCATCTATGAACCGTTCAATTAATCGTCTGGCTTCAATTAATCGTCCCCGCGATTTTAGTTTATGGTCCTTATCCACGATGAGATTTGAGAGACTTCTTTCCTGTGTGGGTCTCATCCACAATACGCTCTGTCTAATCCAATACTCTCATTCCACGTCCCCTTAATCAAATTCAAACTTAAATCTTAAATACACTAAAGACTTATATGATATTTTTTAATAATAATATATAAATGTTAATATTATCGACAAGTTAATTTTAAAAAGTTAAAAAAACATTATAACTTCTTTTATTTGCTCATGAACTTTTCAAGTCAAGTATTAAGTAGTTCGTTTGATTTGTTAAAAACTCGAATCCATTCAATTTAATTATTAATCGAGTTTTGATCGAGTAAAACTCGAATAATTCATGATATGTCTCATTTACATTCTTACACCAAACAATTCAAATGCATCTAATTCTAAATAATATATACATCGAATCATCACAACAACTATAAATTTATTCAGGTTTTAATTTAATTTTATTGTTTATTAAAGTTAGCACTTGAAATAACGTAATTCATTGTCATATTTTCTAATTTTAAATCAAATTATTTATAATATTAAGACTTTACTTATTCATTATAATTTCCGTTATTAATTTTATGATATTGTTCAATTTATATAGAATACAAATACAATTTTATGATATTGTTAAATTTAAATAATAAATATATCTGGAAAAAATATTTTCAACCTAAAAATGGCCACACCGTATTTCCCATGGACAAAGAAGTAGAGGAACGGGTTCAGTTGATTGCGCAAAACAGGCGCGCCGCCGATGTTTGAGAAGTTTTAAAACCCGGGAAAATGGCGGGTCCCACTACCCATGAAAGCTATGGCCTAATCATTCCCTCCCACTAAATAACAACCACCCAATATTTTGTGTGTATGTCCCATTGTCCCTCGGATGGGCATCGGAACAGAATTCGACGAGTTTTGATTTGATCGGATTTTTAAAAGATATTTAAGTTTGAGTTAAATTTTTTTAAGATGTTATGTCTGGGTCGGATTTATATTTGGATTTAAGATGAAAAATATTCAACTCGAAGTTCAGTCGGCTTATTTAATTAACCAAATTAATTTAAATTGGATAGAATAAATTTGGATTAAGTGAATAAGGTATGAGTTGGATGGTTTGTTAATTAATTGGATTTTGAGCTTAAGTAATTTAAATTATTAATTATATATTGTTGTATTTCGTCAAAGATCTTCCACACGTAATTTTCTCGTGTCTAGCAACCATAGAAAAACTCTAAAGGCATAATCTAATCTGGTTTCCTCTACACATACCAAAACCCAGCATGATTGCTTGGATGGCTATCTTGGATAGACTACCAACTAAGAATAAGCTTCAACATATGGGCATTATATCCGATGGCTTGTGTGTTCTGTGCAATGATGATAGGGAGAAGAGAGACCATCTGTTCATTGAATGCTCATTGGCGGATTCCCTTTGGAAGGTCATTCTGCATCTCTCCGGATTAAGGCCATCTTCTTCGTCCTCAAACAACTTGTTAGCATCGGCTTCTCATGCTTGGAAAGGTAAATCTTTACTTATCACTATTTTGAAACTCACATGGTGTGTATTTCTCTATTCTCTAGGGGAAGAACGAAACATAAGGTTGTTCAAAGGAAACTCCAGGAATGAAGCTGAAATTCTTAAAGTTATCAAGGAGATAGTCGGAATTCAACTTAGAGGTCGGAATATTAATAGACTTGATAGTGTCAATATAACTCTTTGTAAGAATTGGAGTATTGAATAACCTATACTATGTTTTGTGAATAGGTTGTTCTCAGATTTAGGTTGTTTTTCCATTGATGATTGTTTTGTAGCAGAACTCTACTCTTTTCGATAATAAAATTTTAATTTATCCAAAAAAAGAAAAACTCTAAAGTATCTTCGAATCTCCGATGCTTAAGAACATCCGAAAGACGTAAAAAACATCTTGGGATGAAGGATATTGAATATCTAACTTTAGGGAAGTCGCGATTTATTGACACGATTTTTTACATGCCCACATAACCTACTAGAACTAAATTCAATGTCACCTAACCATATCAATTTAGCATGTCAGTATACATATAGCTAATAAAATCCTATGAATGACACACTCACATTAATTAGTCCTTATATAGCATCTTGAATAAAATCAAGAGACGAGATGCGACTTCAATGAAACTATCTCACTTTAACTTTTCTCTACTCTATCTTTCCACAGAGACATAGCACTTTAACACAAGTCAACAACTAATCTATCATTGGCCGCGACTTTTCGCCCAAACCAAAAGAGATGAACCGTCAATAGTCACCACAATCCATTTGGTCCCATCAACAAATGGTGCATGAGTGTGAAACACCTCTTATCGAAAAATAATCAACCAAAATACACCCCTAAAGTTAAGATATCCAACACCATCCCCTAACTGACCAACAAATTACATTTAATGTTTTAAATCGAGTGACATATGATGACAATGTTGAGTGTTATTCTATTGGCATCATTGATGTACTTGTATATGAATATATGAATGAATATTACATCATTGGAGGTGTTTCTCTCAATGTCACGACAATATAAGAGTATGATGCTTTGTATTGTGTAGAGACCACTCAGGTTGAAGGAAGGTATGTGCAACAATTTGAATCACTAGATCTTTCAAATAGACTAATCAAAGCTACTCGTTCTTTTATTGAAGACCCCCACACTCTTGCATTAAAGTTCTTATCCAAGCATTTGAAGTATACATTTCTTGGGGACAATAAGACATTATCAGTTATTATTGCAGCAAAGCTTGACACATTAGAAGAAGAAAAATTGTTCAATGTTCTAAAGCATCACAAAACGACTATTAGGTGGGGCATTGCTGACATCAAGGAAATCAGCCCAACATTTTACATGCACAAAATATTGCTTGAGGACCCCAATAGCAAATCTATTGAGCAACAAGTAAGACTCAACCATATTATGAAAGATGTTGTCAAAAAAGAAAACATCAAGTGGTTGAATGCTAGAATCAACTATCTTATCTCTAACAACAATTAGGTGAGTCAGGTATAATGCATACCAAAAGAAAGGAGGAATCATCAAGTGGTTTGTTGCACCCCACCATCACTGCTTAGGGATCAAGGTACTCTGATTTTAGATATCTCTATATTTTCTCATAATATATGTCGACTTATGATGCTAAGGTTTATGAAGTGTAATATGTGGTATTCATTCATGCTAATTATCGATGCAATTATTAGTTTTATGAGTGTAACTAATTAATTTATTAGGAACTTGCTTGATTCAGATAGTTAGAATGGGTGAAAGCAATTATGAAATCAAAAATTATTTTTGTGACTTCATTGTTTTATCATCTTCATCTTCTTCCTCTCAAAAAGCTTTTCCTCTCTATGGTCAAGGAGGCTTAAACCCCTAGGTATTTGGAGGTGAACTGAAGGTCTGCTGACTGCGAGAGTAGCAGCACTGCAGCATGCGAGCAAGGAGCATCGTCGAGGGCGAGTTGAGCGTAGTTAGAGATAACCTTTTCACTTTCCTTTTATTATGTTTTTGTTTGTGCTAAATGCTCTTGATTATATTTTGAGTTTTTAAGTATGAGAATACTTTATGAACTTTGATCACTGTTATTTTATAAATATGGATTCCCTTAAGTATGAAAGTGTTTATTGCCGAGTTGTTATATATTTTATTGATAGTGTCCACCTTGAAATCTAAATTTTCTTCGATTAGTAATTTATTTTATGAACGGTGCACACACTAAAATTTTATTTAAATTATTCTATTTAAAAATTTTATAATATTAATATATATGCCACTCTAAAAATATTTTTAAATCTATTACTATTTTTTAGACAAGAGATGTTATGACACGTGGAAGAACATGATCCAGTTTAACAAAAGGGGAAGTCCATCCATGTGCTGTGTTAGGCCCCGCCCAATCTGCCGACCATTTTAGCTTTTGTGAAGACAAGGTCGGGGCGCGGCTCACATTTACTTGGCTTGCTGGCTTCGCTTGCCTTAATAATCTCCCATTATCACGGCTTGAATAACCAAGTTTTTTCAAATTTAAAGTTGATTAGGATAATAAATCATACATATCTAAATATTAATATATTCCTTTATGTTTAATTTAGAATAAAATATAGAAATAGCCATTAATTATGTTAAAAATGATAATCTTGATTTTTGAAATTTAAAAATTATAAAATAATTTTTTAAATTTATCAAATTGTTATAAAATGGTTATCGTAAGTTAAAAATAGTAATAGATTATGATACATTTAAGGATTATTTTCTACCATTCCTATATATTTAATGATCATTCTATAATGATTTGATAAAGATTAATGACCTTTTTGTAAATATTTAAAAAATTATTATTATTTATAACTTGAGAAATTTCAATAGATCATTTCAACATCATTTAATATTTTTTTAAATGTACTTTATTCTTAAATTTACGATAATATAAATATTTAAATATATGAATGAAATATTAAGTTAAATAATTTTTATATAAATATCTTTTTTATTTTACTTATAATAATTTATTAAATATTTTTGCATAAAATACAATCACTTTCTCTTTAAAAAAAAGAATATAACTATAATTTATTTATTTATTTTTTATTAAGTTAAGGTGATTACAAAGTAATATTTGTTCTAAATATTTTAAATCATTTGACATTAAACGCTCAATCACCCTGCTGCAGTTGCTGGTGCCCGAAACCGTAACCTTTAGAAACAAAAACGATTCTTTCAACTACTAGGGTAAGTCGGTTCGAGTGCAACACTAATAATAATAATGACGAAAAAATTATAATAATATATTTAAAAATTATTTAACAAATGATCGTGAATAGAGTAAAAAATTATCTATATTTAAATTCATTAATTTTTATGAATCTTTTAAAT